TGTGGACACACGGACAGGTGCCACTCGCAGGTTAGGGTCTCGCATAAAGCTGGCTGCTGGATGGGTTGGCATCCAGGGGCAGCCCTGCTTCAGTGTCAAGGATGCAGGTGTGGCTGTCATGCTGGCCCAGGATCTTTCCTAAAGTGGCCAGGGTCAGATCAGGGCCACCAGAAGCTGGGGGACCCCCAGGCCAATGGGGTCCAAGTCTTCAGTCCCCCAGGGCCGTCTGGTGGGAACAGAAGCCGGGGCTCTGAGACCCACGACTTCTCTGGAAGGGAGAGGGGGTGACCCTACAAGCTGTGGGGAGAGCCTGGAGGTGACCCACTCTGCTGTCACCCCTAGGGACGGCACCAGGCTTGCTCCGGGCCATCACCCAGGGTGATGGCTAGCCTCTCGAGTCTGGGGGCACGCTGGCCTCAGCCCCCGCCAAAACCTGCTGGTGGATCCCACTGTCCTTGAGGTCTCACAACAGCGCGGAAACCCATCCTCCTCCAGAGCCCCCGGCCGCTCCTCCTGCAGCCTCAGAGCCAGGGGGCTGGGGTCTCTCCCTGTGCAGGGTGGTGGCCACCCCTCCCCAGGCTTTGTGCCTCTGTGACCCTGGGGGCACCGAGTGTGGGAACGGGGCTGGGGGCCAGGGAGCACAAAGGATGGGGAGGGGCGGGGTCAGCGGCCGTGGCCCCTCTTCCTGTCGGTCCCTGGTCTGCAGTTGGTCATCGGGATAGAGGGAGGGTCTGCAGGCCCAGGGACCGGGCCAAGCACAGGTGCCACGGCTGGCCCTGGGTTCCAGGCGTGGGTGCCGGGGGTTGGCTGCTCTGGAGCTCCCCTCACATCCCCAGGCCCTGGGAGCCCTCTGCTTGCATCCCTCCCCTTCCAGAGATCAGTCTGGGCTGCTGTCCACCTCTGTCCCAGGGCCCTTGCCCGGCCCTCTTGTCTCCTGGGTGCCTGTGAGCCTGCAGCCCAAGGCCCGGCCTCCCCCAACTGCAGGCTTCTCTCTGGCCCCACTCCCTCTCCCCCCTGGGGATCCTGCAGCCAGCGCTGCCTGAGAGCTCCCCGAGGCGGGGCCACCGTCCCGCAGAGGCCTCCCCTCCCGGGTGCCCACTTCCGGAGGCCAACGTCACTGACTCCCCTCCCAGGACACTCCCCGACTTCCACATGGGGGCCACAGCCTGTTCCCCACCACAGTGGAGGGGGACCAGAGGGACAGTAAAAATAGACATTACGCCTAGCCATGTCAGGGGTTCATGCTTAGGCTTTTTTTTTTAACTCAAATTTCTTTGATAAAATATTTTCCCATGGTGGACGGCACTGGGAATGTCCTTTCGGCGGATGTTCCTGATGGACAATCCCAGGCCCAGGTCGCCAGCTTCAGGGGTCATGATCCTGCCCCCACCACGTGAGACCCACCACCCCGATCCCTGGAGTGGGCAGGTGGGCCATCTCCCCGCTTCAGGCCTCCACCCCCTGACTCTGGCTCTTCACGTGCAGATGCCCCAGAAGGTGGACCCTGGTGCCCAGGGCACGCGCCACAGCTTTGGGTCAGGGGCTGGGCACCAGTGTGAGGCATGGCCACAGACCCCTGGCCAGGCCCCTGGCCCAACCTTGGACCGGGCCTTCTCCCTCTGCACGTCCAGCCTTGTACCCCGACGTACCGGCCCAGAGAGTGTCCAGGCCCGCTCTGGGAATGCTCTGTGTGTCGAGTGGGTTTTCCCTCTGGGAATGGCACTAAAATAGCACGAGGAAGGGAAGGAAAATGGAAAGTCAGCCTGGCAGTGGGAGGTCTCCAGGGAGGCAGCCTGCTCCAGCCGGGGCCAGGGGCGACAGAGGCTCTGAGCCACCAGCCAGGGTGCTGAGGCCCACCGGAGCACAGGACAGGGCCCTGAAGGCCGAGCACTGCACAGAGGACCTCCCTGAGTCAGTCCTGAATGTGATGCTCTCTGCTGGTCAGTGGACAGCACCTTCTGATGCCTAGATAGACTTACAAGCCAATAGCCCCACAGAGCCCCCCAGAACCCCACGGAACCACACAGAGCCCCACAGAGCCCCACGGAACCACACAGAACTGCATGGAGCCCCACGGAACCACATGGAGCCCCACAGAACCACAAGGAGCCCCACGGAACCACACGGAGCCAGCCTCGTCACTGTGTTGAGCCTCGGGCTATCACCCTGCAGCGTCCATGGGGCACCTCTTCTGTGCTTCTTGGTGTTTGCCACTGGTCCATCCCGCCTGGCCCCGAGAATGGCATCTCCCCTGATCCTGGGCTGGGAGTAGGGGTGGCCAAGTGTGTAGGACGGGTGGTCAGCCATTCCTGGCTGTAGCTGAGGCTGAGCCCCTGGGGTTCAGCTGGGAATGCCGTGGTGGAGGGGCTCCAGGAGCACTTGGAGGGAATGTGGCCGGAGGCCTGCCCAGACCTGCTGCTGGCACGTAACTGCCACACATCAGTGAGCCGCCCGTCTCACAGTAAGCGGGTATTTGGTCTGAGAACCTCCGTGGGAACCCCGGCCTCAGGCCTAGGCATTGATGCTACCAGCGCTCGCTGGAGCAGAGTAAGCTCAGTCCTCCTACCTTTCCCAAGATGCCTCCCTGGTGATCATGGCTGGGTCCAAATTTAGAAATCCTGGCTTCTCAGAGACCCCCTTCTCTGCCCACCTGGCCCTGTAATGCTGGCCTTTCAGGGTCCTTGTACACGTTCGTGGACCCTCCTAAACAGCTATTTGCCACCCAGGGAGGGTCCTGCCCTGGGGCACACCCAGCACACTTTCTTTCGGAGCTGAGCTCAGCTGGAGGCCACTGGCCACCCCTGGGACCAGAAGGGTCCCTGGGCCCTTTCTTGACAAAGGCCCATCAGGCGCCGACACACAGCCTTTTACCTGCACCCCCACTTGCTGCCCACGCAGTGGCCAGCCCCTGACTGTGACCACACACACAGGTCTCTGCCTGGGACCCCCTCCCCAGCCCTGTGCACCCTGGTGCTGGGGTGGCTGCCCTCTGCTTCTTGGCCAGTGCAGTCGCATGGTCCCAAGTCGCGGACCCTGTCTCCGTCCTCACCAGCTGGCCTTGGGCGGAATGCATATCTTCCACAAATACGGACAGTGCTGGGCAGGGCCCCCAGGTGAGCAGTGAGCTGGGGGCTGAGGCTTCCCCTTCCTTCCGCATGCCCCTCCCCAGCCTGCAGGGCCTGGTGCATCTGCCTCCAGACCAGACCCCAGGGAGCCCAGGCCCACTGGCCAGGGCAAAGCCTACAACCTAGGAACCCAGCCATAGCCTTAACTTGTATTCTCAATCTGCTCCTGCTCATCTGCTCTGACACCTGCCACCTCTCACCTGCGCAGGCCCAGCAGCTGCTCCCAGGTCTCCCACCTCCCTACCTGTGGTCAGAACCCTCCGAATGCGTCCCACCTGCTGTAGTCAGAATAGATCCCAGCACCCCCGTAACCCCCCTCCCAGCTGTGCCCCCATGGGCTGTCCCCTGTCCTGGGGTGGCCGAGTGCCCACCTCTCCGGCCTGGGCACTGGCTGGTCCCCTATCAGGGCTCTGCCTCCGAGCCTTTGAACTGGCTCCATGTGGCCCCCCAGGCGTTCTCAAACAGCCTGCGTCCGGCCCCCCCCACCCCCGCAGGGCAGCGGGGCCCTCAGCCTGAGGGCTGCTAACGGTACAGGATGGCCAAGGCCAGTGAGGCCGGGGACGCTCTTCCCCGTGCAGGGGTGTGGTGGCTCCGTGCCCTCGCAGGCCTGAAGGAGGTCAGGCTGCTCCCCAGCACGAGGCTTCCCGGGGCGCCAGTGGGGGTTTCCTCCCAGCTACCCAACTTCCTGTTTTCTCAAGAAAACTTAGCAGCAGAGGCTCTGAAAAGCTCATTAAAATGCCTCCCAGGCGTCCCGGACGTCCTGGGGTCTTTACAACACTTGTCGGCTTGAGCAGAGACAAAGAGAGGCAGCCGACAAGGTTCCTGTCCTCCCAGAGCTCGCTGAAGGAAAAGGCCCTGCAGCGCACTTCCCGCCACGCAGGGCAGGGGGCCCAGGGGTCTGCACAGAGGGCACCTGAGGCCTGGTGGTGGGGGTCCAGGCCCTCCTCCCCGCTCCCACTCTGCTGCATGCCTGCCCTCGCGCGCACAGACGCTGCACTAGCTGCAAATCTCCTGACTCGGCCCCGTGGGCTCAGGTCCCAGGGGCCTGGCCGGAGATGACCCCTCCCCTGGCACTGTGGAGGTGAGGCCCAGCATCCACCAGGCAGCTGGGCTTGGGGAGGTGCTCCTGACGGAGCTTTGTCGTGGCTGCAGCTCCAAAATATCCTGGGAGTAGCCAGCACTCTGCACCAGGAGCCACGGGAGTACGTTAGGACAGGCCCCAAGGCCCTCTGTGCCCGCTGTACCCCACCGAGGCCCCGACATGGAGCAGCCACGCCCCAGCCTGCACCACCTCCCCCTCAGCCAGATGGCACTCAGGGCCCCCAGGCGCCCCCTCCCTGGCCCAATCAGCAGATGGTACCTAGGTCCCAGACCCCTCCCCGATCTTAACCCTGGATACAGCTGCCCTGACCTGGCCATTTCTTCACCCAGACCTTTCTAGACGTCAGGATGGACCCAGTGGCCATCTGCAGCTGTGGACATTGCCCTCCGAAAATGGGACACCCCCGCCCCCAGCCAGGTGCAACTTCCGGCTCCTTTTCCTTCATCTAGAAGCCCTGTGGGAGGCCAGCCCTGGACACGGGAGGAAACGCCTGGGTCGAACAGGCGTCCCACGTGAGCCGCTCCCGTGGCCAGGCCGGTGCCAGCACTCTGCCACCTCCTGGCCCCATGGGGGTGGGAGGAAGAGGAGGAAACACCGCAGGTAGGGCAGTGGCGGATGCTGCTTGCAAGGGCACAAGCCCCAAAGCACATGGCCTCTGCTGTCCTGCCGCCCTCCAGAGACATGCTGGGTCTTGCCTGCCACGGAAGTGGCTTCCTGACAGCTGGGGGGCTCACACACCGGTCCACGGCAGGCCTGGGGCACGGGGGACCCACCTGGCAGCGCCTGAAGATGTCTGCATGGGTGACACGCATGTGAAATGCTTGAGCATGGCCTTGACCTGCTGTTGGCCTTGAGGGAGCGGTCCACCGAGGGGCAGCGCCCAGCCCTGACCTGGGCCCGGAGCTGCACAGAAGTGTGGTCACTGAGGGGCAAGCACAGAACCCAGAACCTCTCCAGGCCCGGCTCCCCTCCCCCAGCTCAGGGGCCAAGAGCCTCTCCTCAGCCCACCCAGGCTGGGACAGCAGTGTCGGGTCAGCCCCCACTCCCATCAGCTCCACGGTGAGACCCCAAGAGGGGGTGGCCCAAGGGCTAGGCTGAGGCTCCCTTGGAAAGATGAGGCTCAGAGGCGAGCCGTCTTTGGGGCCCTCACCTGTGTTACGGCAGCCCCGATGTCAAGATGATCCTTCCCTCCTGCCTGGCAACCTGTGCGGGAGGCAGAGTGACGGGTGAGGGGCACACTGGCGCCGGCAACTAGGGCTGTTCCTGTCCCCCCCCACCCCCTGTCTCCCCCAGGCCCCGCCCTGTCCCCCAGAGCTGCCTCTGTCTGGGATCTGAGCAGCCAGCAAGTCCTGCAGCCTGAGTCCTGGGGCATTGCCTTGTTGTATAGATTTGGTCTTAGAATCCTAAAAACATTTTACATAATTGCAAACAAAATTAAAATTTAAAAAGCAATCTCTAAAAATCCAAAGAAGATGAAACAAATGAACTGCATGGAAAGAAGTATTCCAAGTGACACGTGGACGAACGCCAGTACATTGACAGTGCATCTCCAGGGTTCTTCACTACAGACCGAAAATGAAAAAACCCTGCAGCAATCCTATTGTTGGCGATAATACTGGCATTGTTACTTGGAAACGTTCATGTGTGAACTGTGACAAAAACAGATGCATTACGCTGGTGTTGGGTCGGGTTCAGTTGGGAGAGGGGAGGTGTGAATTAAAACTAAGGAAATTGCACCACGGCTTCAGGCCTGAATAGAAAGCTTCACTCTGAATTTCTTATATATTGAAAAGTATTTCATCCCTCCGGCTACCATAAAGGCCTAGAAAGAAGAACCAACCCTACAGCCAGGAGCATCCTGTGCCCAGACTGGTTTCCACATAGGTGGAAAGGGGGTCAGCACCTTTCTTGAGAAATAGCTGATTCCAGGTCTGAGGCAGAAAATGCACACAATGAAGCTGGAAGGTCTCGTGGTGTCAGAAAACAAAGAAGTTATCAAAGTTCACAAGTGTTCTAGCAAAAGGACTCAGGATGCAACGAAAGCTCTCCCATGCCGCAGGGGGCAAAGTACCTACGGACGAGGTGCCAGCAGCAGCACGCAGAAATGCCGAACACGGCTCTATCGATGTGTTCGGCATGTTTCTAAACAATCACTAGTTATCTCTGGAGAATGGGAGAGGCCACTCAAAAATGTAAGAGCTAAAACTATAAAAATCTTAAAAGAAAACATGGTGGGGAAAATGTCACGGCATTGGATCTGGCAATGATTTCTGGGATATGACACCCAAAGCACAGACAACAAAATTAAAAATAGAAAAATTAGGCTTCCTGAGAACTAAAAACTCTTGTACATCAGAGGGCGCCATCAAGATAGTGAGAAGACAGCCCACAGAGTGAGTGAGAATATTTGCAAATCATGTGTCTGTTCAGGGATTAATATCCAGAACATATAAAGAACTCCTACAACTCAACAACAAAAAAGCAAATAACCCAATTAAACATTGGCAAGGGGCTTAAATAGACATTTCTCCAAAGAAGACATACAGATGGCCAACATGCACACGAAAAGGTGCTCAACATCACTCATCATTAGAGAAATGCAAATCAAAACCACAATGAGATACAAATTCACACCCATTAGGATGGCTTTTTTTTTTTTTTAAGGAAAATAAGTTTTGGTAAGGAGGTAGAGAAATTAGAGCCCTCATGCATTGCTGGTTGTAATAAAATGGTATATTTAGTGTGGAAAACAGTATGGTAGTTTCTCAAAAAGCTAAACATAGAATTACCATATGAGCTGGCAATTCCACTTCTAGGTATATATCTGAAAGAACTGAAAGCAGAAAATTGAACAGATACCTGTATACCAAGGTGCATAGTAGCATTATTCACAATAGCCAAAAGGTAGAAAGAACCCAAGTGTTCCAAGTGTTCATCAACAGATGAATGGGTAAACACCCCCTCAAATACACACACACACACTAGAATTTATTCAGCTTTAAAAAGGAAGGAAATTCTGACACGTGCTACAACTCGGATGAACTCTGAAGACATCATGCTGAGTGCAACCATCTAGACACAAAAAGACAAATAGTATGTGATTCATGTATATGAGGTATCTAGAGAAATCAAATTCATAGAGACAGAAAGTAGAATGGCAGGTGCCAGGGGCTGGGGGAAGGGGATGGAGAATGATGGTTTAATGGGGATAAAGCCTTTGTTTGATGATGAAAAATTTTTGGAACTTGATAGTGGGTACACAACACTGTGAGTGCCCTTAATGCTACTAAATTGCACACTTAAATATGGTTAAAATGACCTATGTTTTGTATATTTTACTACAAAAAGTAAGAAAAAAAGCAATAAAGCAAGTGGTTACTTTGTAGTGATAACAAATATACATCTATGTGATGAATAAAAAATAAAATAAACAAACACAACTGAAGTAAATGTGAGAAAAGAACCAAATGAACGGACATTCAAGAGAAAATACAGACTAGTTACACAGAAATGACACAGGACTGATGGCAAATGTCTCAACAGCAATGATGGACACCAAAAAAAAATCAATGCGTTATTTTCAAAGCTTTGTCAAACTACAATTATAAACCCAGCTACATTCTCTTTCAGAAGAGAAAAGACATAGAGATTTTTCAGTGAAAAATAGCCCTGATGCAAGAATGTAGCAAAAGACGTTCTTTTAGCAAGAAAGAGATTGCTTTTTCTTGGAGCAAGGTCTGTTGTGCATATGCACATCCACACATCATAAACTCTAAAAACCATCAAATACATAAAACAAATAGGATAATGTCTAATTTGTAGATTTAAGAAAAACCACATTGTGTTAAAATAGTGGAAAATACTAGTAGGTAAGTTGGGAAAGGAATAAGAAAGCTGACTTGTTCTAGGATCCCCATATTAACTTTAACTTCAGACAATGTTAACTCAAATATAAATGTTAAAATTTCTAGGGTTATCTCTAAAAGAATTGAAACAGAACCTATAACTTTCAATTTAATAGAGAGAAAAGTAGAAAAAGAAAAAAAAAAACTAAAAGAATGTTAAGGAAAAAAGGGAAAAAATAACAGAAAAAATAAGACCAACAGAAAGCACAAGTCAGTGTAGTACAGCTGAACCCAAAGTATGTCAGCAGTTACATCAAGTGTAAACAGATTAAACAAATAATTTGAAAAGCAAAGACTGTCAGACTAGACTTTTTTTTACATTCAGCTAGAAGCAATTTATAAGAAATACATCTAATATATAAGAGTAAAGGAGGTTCAAAGTAAAAAGGCGAGAAATGATATACAAATACTATCTAAAGAATGCTGGAGAATGATATCAATATTAGTTAAAATAGACTTTATGGCAAAGACCATTATTAGAGCCAAAGAGGTTTACCTCATAATTGTAAAATATTTAACTCAACAGGAAGATACAGGAATTCTAAAAAAATATATGCAGATGCACCTAATAACACAATTTAAAAACATAGAAAGCAAATTCTGACACAACTATAAGATGAACCCACCATCCTAGGAAACTTCAGTACAGAGAATTAAGCAGAAAAACAAACAAGATACAAATGATTTGAGCAACACATTAATTAAGCTTGATCTATTGAGAGTGTGTGTGTGTGTGAGTGAGAGAGAGAGAGATGGACATGAGCATAATTGGAGGAGAATATGTATCCTTTTAAAACCCACGTGGGACATTCATAAAAAGATCCTCTACTTGGCTACAAAGCAAGTCTTCACAAATATCTAAATTGGCAGTACATAGACTATGCTCCTTGACTACTATATAGTTAGGTTAGAAACCCACTTTTAAAAAGGTAACTTAAAAGCTCCCAAACTCCAAGCTTTCTGAAATTGAAAAACAGCCTTCTAAGGAACTCTTAAGTCAAATAAGTAATTATAACGGGTACTCAAAAATTATTAGAACTATAAAATAATAAAAGTACTACATATCAAAACTGAGGGAATGCAGTGAAAACAGTACTTCAAGAAAAAATTTATGCTCTTGAATGTTTACATCATAAAATTTAAAAGGCTAAAAATTAAGGAGCGAAGCACTCCACTTGGAAATAACCCTAAGAAAGCAAAAGGAAGGAAACGATAAAGATAAGAATAGAAATTAATGAGATAGAAAACAAAAATGCAATAGGATCAACAAACCAAATACTAGTAATTCGAAAGGACTTATTAAATCGACAAATCTCAGCAAGATCAAGAAAAAAGAAGGAGCACAAGTATGCACCAGTGAGACTGGAAGTGTGAAAAAAGCTACAGACATGGTGGGACTTACACAGGGAGTACCAACAACTGTATGTATCTGGAATGTTGGGCGGGGTGGACCAGAAAACAACAGAAATCACCAAAAGTGACTCAGGAAGATGTGGACAACTAAATAATCCTATAATTATTAAAGGAAAAAGAATCATCACTAGACACTCCCTCCCCTAAAACATCAGGCCAAGAAGCCTTGCAGAAAGTCAGTCAACATTTGAGGAGAAGATAGTTCAAATATTACTCAAAGTTGCAGAAAGAGGAAAAGCTCCTCAACTTGTTTATGATGAAGCCAGAAAAGAAGGTGATGAGAAAGAACAGTCTGACGTCAGCTATGCTCCTCAAGAGCCATCCAAATGTCCCAAATAAGAACTTCAAACCAAAGCCAGCAACGTTGGAAAAGGGTTACGTGCTCCGCCAAGACTGGTTCAACCCAGAAGGGCAAGGTTGGTCCCAAACGAAAAATGCCACGTTGGCACATTAAAGGGAAAAAGCCTCCATGGTTATCTCAGTGGCTGCGGAGATCGGTGGCGGGAGGGTTCCTCGGCCGGCCGGCTCTGCAGCGGCCGCCCCGCTTTGGCCCAAGGCAACGAGGAGAGGACAGCACCCCCACCGCTCCTGGGCGACACCGTCCTGGAGGTCTGAACGAACGTGACAGGAAGGGGAAAACCAGAAACTGGGAGGTTTGGAAAGGAAGGAAGAAAAGTGTCGCTGTTTGTGGGTGGTGCATCCCCGAGGAGAGCCCCAAGGACTGACAGCCGTTGGGCAGAACTGAGGACACTTTCGTCAGGTTTCTGGGTGTGAGACCAACTCTTAGGCCAAGTTCCTGGGTGAGCTCTGACCAGCGAGGCACAGGGCCCTGAAGCACACAGGAGAAGAGGCAAACACTCACGGGCAGAAGACCGGATAGTATACACAGGCCACCTCCTCCCACCCGGTTCACGGTCAACGCAGCTCCGAGCGAAGCCCCACTGACCGGCTGCTTCTACGGGACTGGCCGAAGTCTCGCCCCGCCGGATGCCAAGATGAAGAGTAAAGCCAGAGGCATTAAGAGAGGGGAGACCAGGAAAGACTCGGGGAGACGTGTGTTGAGGGTCCCCAAACCACCCCCAGGTTCACTGACTCCCCAGAAGGACTCTGCATAGAGTCATGCTCACGGCAAAGGTTCGTCATGGGGAAAGGATACGGAACAAAATCAGTGTGTGGAAGAGGCATGTGGACAAGAGGCAGGGGCACGAGGAGCCCCCACGGGAGCTGTGCGGCCATCCTGCTCCGCCCCCTGCAAGGACACGCGGCAGGGAGCTCCATCTCTGCGGGAAAGCCGTGGACACCGGGCACCGGGAGTCCACACGGGCTGGGCACACAGGCACCCCCTGGCATGCACTGGGACTGCCGACTCCCAGACCAAAACCCTGCGCGCATGGTTTAGGCATGTGAGCCACCATCACCAGCCAGGGACCGGCCTCGCAGGCAGGCCTGGCTAAGGACCGCGTCAGGCTTACTCAGTAACTTCCTCACAAAGCGGGCACAGAACTGAAGGCACCGGCAGCTTGTGAACATAGGAGAAGATGCTCGACTTTGATTAAAATACATGACATATGATTTCACACCGGCGGGCCCAGTGAGACGGACAGCTTGGCACCAGTGGTGAACGTGACCTGTGCTGTCGTTCAGCCACCCACGGCAGGAGAGCCTGGGTCTCGCTCTGTGGCTGCTCTTGGGGCAGATACAGAAGCTCTCCAGTCCCTTATGTGACTGTGAGCGGGAAACGTGGCGCCCACACCCATTCCTTCCTTCGCCACTTTGCCCAGCACCGTGAAAGCAGCCAGCTGACCCCACATCCTTGTTACTCAGGCCAAAATGTCCTGAGGTAGCACGTTCACCCAGAATCTCTCCTCCTACAGGTTCTCGACCACGGGCATCCCGGGGCAGGCCACAGACTACTGGTGACCCATCTCCCACATGAGAGAGTGCTTTTCTATCTCTTCGGATTAGAGGACCCAGCCAGAGGTCCCACACCCCATTCAGAGAACTCATCCTGAAGACCGTCCTTGGGGACCACTTCTGGCCCCAACGTTTTCAGCTAGGGTCACCCGGGAGGCCTCGCCCGTCGGAGGTGTAGGTGAGGAACTGGCCAGGCGCATCTGAAGTCCGCCGGGCAGACTGACGGGGGTAGATCCCGAGCCGTGGGATGGCTACGGGCCTGGACTTTCTCCGCGAATTCTGGCTGCTGCTGAGGGACTGAGGGCTCGGGCTTGGTGGAGACCTGCAAGACCCTTGCTAGCCTTTTGTAAACTCATACTCTGCCCGCTGTGTAGCCACAGGCAGCCTCTTCCAGGCCACGCTTTGGAAATCAAACACTTGGTTTTAGCATCTTTCACCAACCCACCACACTGAGAATTCCCTCCTCGCCTGTCAAGGCCTCTCCCCCAGCCGACCCCGGTCCTCTCCTACTTGAGGCCCCAGGATGTGCCTCTAGCACAGAGCGTGGAGGCCTCCTCCATCCTGGGCAGCCTGCCCGGCAAGCGATGGACATGGCGCCACCGTGCTCTCTGAGCACCCGCCTCCCTGCAGGGAGCACACCCCTGGCGTCCCTGGGCCCTCAGCTGCAGAGCGTCCTTTCTTTTCAAGAACATGTCCGTCAGTGTATTAACATGCATGAGATGAAAGGTATAGAAGGCGGAACCTTCTCTTGTACAACCTGCTTTTTTTTTTTGGAGACAGAGCCGTGCGCGCGTGGAGGGGGCGGGGCACAGGGAGAGCGAACCCGAAGCAGGTTCCACGCTCGGTGCCAGACCTGGGGCTGGGCCTTCCAACGCTGAGATCATGACCTGAGCCAGAATCAAGTTAGACACATAACTGACCTGCTTTTGTACAAAACACACAATTCATCGACTCAGGAGTCTTGATGGGAAACACATGATTTGGAAAGGTCCATAGAGGAGGACACCAAACAGCCAAAGGGCCGCAGGCACTCCCACTGCTGGACATGCTCTCTCTGGAAGGTGCCCGAGGACCCTGCCCCGAGAGGACACATGCCTGCTCCACCATCCAGAGTGTCTACACCAGCAAACGAGCGAGTGGTGTGAAGCCTCCTACTCTGGAGACATAGACCAAAAACACAGAATTCCTTAAAAGCTTGGATCAAAAGGCCTACTGGAACCAAGTTAAAGGGACTTTGGAAACAATGGCTGACATCGGTCCATGACGTGGGTCCATGAAACCACAGGGAGGGTCCGGTCTGGCTCACCCCTCCACCGGTGTGCGGCATGGAGAATGACCACCCACAAATGCCACTTCCTGAGCCCCCAGGAACTGTGAGGTCCGTGTGTTTTTAGTCCCGTGTGGTTCGGCTTCACTTTCCAGACCCTGCCTCTGTCTCATACCTTCAAGGCCTTCCACTCACAGTCCTCCGAGGCCGGACAGGCCTCTCTCGGGATGCCAGCCCCCCCGCCCCCCCGGGCCTTCTGCGTCTGCAGCCGTCTGCTACGAGCCTGAATACAGCTCTGCAGTGGGCTGGTCCCGCTGGCTCCACGGGCTCCCTGCTCAGGGCTCACATCAAAATCTGTGCTCTGGGGAAGGGCAGGCTCATGAGGGGCTGGCAGGATCCAGCCCCTGCTCGACGTGGGGTCTCAGGCAGCACCTGCACTCCGTCTCCTTCCTGGGCTCTGAATCTGACTCCTGCGTTCTGTTTCTGCTCGACAGGCTCATGCGGTGACACTGGGCCCACCCGAAACTCATTTAAAATAATCTCTCTATTTTAAGGTCAGTTGATTAGTAAATTACATCTTTAAATCCTATTTGTCCTGCAATGTGACAAGTCACAGGTATAACATAGGGGGTAAGGGGCAGGGGAGCCAAACCCTGCCTCTCGTTTGCTGGAGACCCCGTGCACTCCCCGGTGGGAAGGCACCTCCTCCCTGGCTCCTGAATCCCCTGACCCAGGAGGCCTGGTCTGGAGTCCCCGAGAAGCCAGGCTGGCCACCTTGGTCTCAGCCCCCCACAGGCTAAAAACAGCCTTGGTTGGGAAGCAGGTGTTTTGTACCGGGACAGTGACCAGGGCCAACCTTGGCACACCCACCTCCTCCCCTGGACGCCAGGACACGGCCCCCGGGAGAGGGGGCCCGCGAGGGGCCAGAGATGGGGGAGAGAGCCAACATCCTGTCATGGATGCCAGGGGCCGGCACAGGAGGCCCTTCTCGCCCAGCTCCGGCCCTCCCTCCTGCTGCAGCCTCAGCACCGGGGGGGACGGGGGGGGACAGCACAGGGCAGGTCCTCGCAATTCTTCTGGCTTCAGCTTCCTCAGTAGTGGGGGTGGCACGAAGAATACCACCCACGTGTGCTGGAGCCTGGGCCCCGTGCAACCAGACAAACCCCACTGCTCCGCAGGCTCGGGCCGAGGCCAGCCAGCTGGTGAGCCAGGGGACCCTTTCTCAGAAGAATGTTTGCAAATGCTTAAAAGAAGCCACATATTAACAATAAAAATGACACGGGGGCCAGTCTGTCCCACTCACAGCAGTGTCCCTGGAAGCCGCCCAGGTGACCGTCCCACGCGGTGGGCCTGGGGGGACACTGCTCTGGTCCACCTGCAAACGGAATGCTTCGGGTCATAAAAAGGAGTGGAGCACCAACGACCATGAACCCGGAAAACACGGTGCTGAGTGAAGGAGGCCAGCCATCTAGAACAGAGTCCCCACAACGGCCAGGGCCTGGGCGGGGCGACAACAGCAGTGGAAACGTCACACGACGTGGGAGCGTACGAGAAGCCTGTGGATGGGACGCCTGGCCGGGTGAGCTGTGGGTGGTTCTGCCTGCACACCTGTGGAGGAGCTTTCCATCTACGTTCAGACCCCTGCATTCTGAGACGCCCCCCCACTCAGATTTTCTTCGTGGCCCCGGGGGCTGGTGTCCCCACAGGCAGGGCCCTGCCACGGCCGGGAGCAGAGCCTCTTTCCGTGCAGTGTCTCCAGGGGCCACAGGACAAGGGGGTGAGGGTGGGGGCATGCCCACCCCCAAAGGAGCCGAGAGGGTTCCCGCCGGCAGACCCCAGGGGCAGGGCAGCCATAAACATCTCTGTCCTTAGACCCAGGCAGACAGAAGGGCCCCGAGCCCCGGGAGGCTGGGCGCAAAGCCCCGCCACGCTTACCTTGACGGCCCTGCGGTGTCCTCGCCGGCGCCCAGCCCTTGCAGCCTGTGGTCGCACAGCACACAGAAGGCCCTGCCCGGGACCTCGGGGCGGCGCCCTCCTTCTCCGCCACAGGCACCTGCAACACGGCTTGGCTCAGCAGCCCGCGGCCCCCTCGCCCCCACCCTGGTCTTGATGGGGAGTGAGAGCCCTGAAGGCCGAACTTTAAAGAGAATCAGGAGCAGTATGTGGTCAGCGAAGAAAACAGAGAAACAGATCAACGAGATAGTACCCGATGGCTCACACGGGCCCCAGCAGGACCCCCACATGTCTCCTCGGGGTGGGGGTGCGGTGGGCTCAGGCTCACGGTTCATGCCCTGGACCTCAGTGGGGAGCACGTCAGGCCTGCTGGCAGGAGAGGGCTGGGGACTCCTCCTCAGGGCTCTAACCTGTGGCCCTGCTTCCTTCTCTCCAGGGGGAGGGACCCGGGCCCTCTTGGAAGCTGCTGGCCTCCCCCAGCCCAGGCCTCCTCCCCTGTAAGGTCCTCATTTTAAGGACAGTGATCCTTCTCCCTGGGAACTCAGGTGCAGGGACCCTGAGGGGCTTCGCTCAGCTGCCAAGCCAAGACTGAGGCCTCCTGCAGGCTAGGCGGCTCCTGGGCCCATGGTCTCTCCCTGCACCCTGGCCTCAGGCTCCTGGCCAGGTCATCAGACAGGTAGAAGCTGGAGGCTCTCTGCACAGAGCCTGGTACACCTCCAGCAGGCGGTAGGCGTCGGCAGCTGGGGGGGCATGGGTCAGCCTCAGCCTCCAGGGTGGGGGGCACGGGGGCTGGGGGGAAGGGGGGGGGTGCACACCTGCATAAACCAGCTGCCCCCGCTCAGCGGCCGCCAGTCCCAGTTGGAGAGCTGCTGTGCCTTGTCCAGGGCCTTGCCCAGCACCTGCTGCACCAGGAGGCTGAGGCCCCGCAGCCCCTGGCCTCACCCCTGCCTAGAGCTGGCTTGTCCAACACCTGCATCTGCCAAGACAGAGCCCCTCGGGGGTGAGGGGTCTGCCCTGGAGGAAGGATGCCACCACTCAGGCCATCACTGTCTCACACGGGGGCCCTGCCCTGGGGAAGGCCCTTCACCCTCCACAGCCACCTGTGCACAGAAGGAAGGGCACAGATGGTCTAGGCAGGCAGGTGCAGGGGGACTCAGGGCCACGGTGACCTGCCCACAGGCCAGCTCTGGGGCTAACATCTTAGCCCCCAAAGGTGTGGCTGAGAACTCAGAGGGGCCCAAAGCAGGGCTGGTTCTGAGGAAAGTGTGGGGACACGTGGTGACACCCCCTCCCTACGGGGCCCTGGTGACCTGAGTAACCCAAAGGTGCTCCAAGGCCATGAGCACATCCTGACCCGTAGGCACCAGTCAGCCTGTGGTGAAGGCCCTCGGCTGGCAGGGGACATCACTGTGCAGGCGGCTCAGCAGAGAAGGGAGGGGCCCCGTCCCCGTCCCCCTGGAGCTGACCTGCCTGTGCACCTGCAGCAGGTCTAGACTGCCCTGCAGCTGCTTCTCCACGTGAGCCAGGGCGGGGCAGGAAGCCCCCAGGCTCTGAAGGTCCCCTGCCATCCCATAACCTGCAGGGAGGGCCATCAGCATGACAGGCACCTGAGGCAGGGGCCCTGACCTCGCCCCAGGACCCTCCCCCTGGGTGGGCAGGGGCTGTGCTCACCCAACTTAGTGATGGAGGGGTCCGAGAGCAGCTGGGACACCAGCCTGGAGAAGGCCTGGGACACCTGCCCTCCTGTTGGCCGTGGGAGCACAGGCAGGTCCAGCAGGAACACACGGCCCTCCACCGCCACCTGCATGATGGATGCCTGGGACCGGGCCCCTGTGCCAAACGAGGGTCACCGCTCCAGGTCCGCACCGACCACCTGGCTGGGCTGTAGAGAGCTGGGATGAGCAGGGGAGGCCCATCCAGAGGCTGCAGGCCTGTGGCCGAGGGCATGGCCTCCCTGACTCCCCTGAGGGTGAAGCCGAGGGGAGGCAGTTTCTGTTGGGGGCACCTGACCAGTCCTGTGGGCTCCTATAGGACTGGGGCTGTGCCTGGCCCCTGCCTGCCCCTTGTTCCACATAGAAGGGGTCAAAGGACTCCTTCTGGCCTCCTCGGACCCAGAGCCCAGCCATAGCACAGGTGTGGCGCTGCCGCAGGTGGGGGGCCAGTGCCAAATGTCTGTGGGCAGGTGTCCGATGCTTGCACTTTAGGCCCAGAGTCTTCAAAATGGGCTGGTATGGGTGCCCTGCTCTGCGGGGGTGTCTGGGGTGGCGTGGGATGGAGAGCCAAGCCCGGTGGGTCCTGGTGTGGACAGAGCCCCTGGAGCCAGCCACCCACCTGCAGGAGCTCCTCCTCGTGCCTGGCCAGGTCCCAGGAGTCCAAGGAGAGGATGTCCTCTCTGGCGACGGGCAGCTGGTAGTAATCATCCCTCCGGTCTTGGAAAGGCACCTCAGCTGTCCTAGGAGTGGAGCTGTGGCACCCCACACCCTGGTGCCCTCCCCCAGACCAACACTTTCTGGCCTGGCCAGGCCCCACGAAGACCTCCGAGAGTCTAGGGAGCTCTGAGGGTGCTTGGTGGGCTGGCGTCTGCAGGGGCCTTGCTGCTCACTCCACCTTGCCCAAACTGCTGACATACATCCCTCATGGGGCCGCTTGCCAAGGGACGGGGGCCCAAGCGCCTGTCCCCCTCGCCAGCCTCCCGAGCCTGAGCACTCGCCGCTCCTGGAGTTTGAGCTGGCCGAGCTGTGCGTGGCTGGCAGCCGCTCCTCGGGCAGCGAGAGGTCCAGGGCGCCTCGGGTGGCCACGGCCTCGTTGTCAGGAGAGGCCAGCCCCTCCCGCAGCCACTCGTGCTGGCCCACAGGCCCTGCGGGGCACACGGGATGGGCTGTGCTGCCCGGCTCTGCCCCGAGGGGGTGTGGACAGTTCCCCGGGCCCGCACCTCCCCCCCAGACCTCGCAAGCCCCAGAACGGGAGGCTGTTGCCTGAAGGAAGGCCACAGATGCTCCCACGACCGAGGCTTTGTGCTGACCGCGCTGTCGAGCGAGGGCCCTCCACATGGTCTGGTTGGAGGGCCACTGTCCTGTGTCCACAGCCCAGCCCGGCGGCCCTGCCCCCCAGACCCGAGACCAGCCCTGTCCTTCTAGAACATTGCCTGACCCTGCTCCTTCTCCACCCTTGCGTGCTGGGGCCTGCTCCTGACCCTCGGGCTGCCCCTCAGGGCTCCTCGCCCCCCGCCCTCGCGGCCGGCCAACATTCTCAGGGGAAGGTGGGGCCCTGGGACACTCCTGAATCCACAGTCCAGAGAGTGGACACAGGCAAGCCGCCCTCGGGGTGGCAATGAGCGTGGGGGGGCCTCACGAGGCTGTCTCCCACACCAGTGCCCAGCACAGGAGTGGGGGGACCCACGGGGCCCACAGGTGTCCCACCCGTCAGCTCAGCCTCCGGACACCCACAGCAAGGCCCAGCCACCTGCACCACCAGGGTCCCACAGGAGGGTTTCTGTCCTGGCTGAGTCCTTGAGTCCATAAGGTCACAGGCTCTTGTAACTCAGTGGGCCGGGAGTCTGAGCCTCGTGCCCTCCTGATCTCTGGCCCCTGAGGCCTCTGTGCGCTCTGAGGAGCCCCTGCTGGCTGACAGGCAGGGCCCCCTCCCAGACGACTCTGTCCCCCCAGTAGCCTCAGGCCATCCGCTTCCCGCGGGTTCCCACGTGGACGACAATATGTGGAAGCCCCTCCACATTCTTCAGGATGTCCGCTGCCCTTCCGGCTGCCTCGGCCTTGGCACCCAGGGGGGACCAGCCTTCCGGGCCTTCCCTGGGGGTCCACGTTCCTCTCCGGTGACTCACCACCCACCCCACACACCCATCACTCCAGGGGTGGCTCAGCACTGCCCCCCGCTGGATGCCACTCAGGACACCAGAAGCCAGACTATTCATCAGGGAGGGAAGGGCCCCCCACGCCACGAACTGGCCCACAGCTCCACATGTCGCACCTGGGACCCCACACACCCCCACCTTCTTCCCAGGCTGCTTCACCCACGGCTGGGGACAGCTCTGTGCCCACCATGAGCCACACCTCCAGCTCAGGCCTGAGGGACAGAAGCTACTAGATGGTCCTGTCCAGGCTGCCGTCCTGATGGGCTCTGCAGCCCCCAGGCCCAGGAGTGGCCTTGCAGTTCAACCCCCTCTATGACCCTGCACCACCCCGAGGGGCAGCTGCCTCCTTCTAGGGGCCTGGGCTCACCCCCCACCTGGCCTCAGGGGGCACAGAGCCATGGGTGAGGACCTTGCTCAGAGACGGTCTAGAATATTCCCTTAGTGAACACTGTGGAACCTCCAGCACACCTCACCTCCTCCATCGCCTGGGGGCTCTGTACCCTAAGGAGGGTCCAGGCCCCCCAGCTGCTCTGGCCCTGCCTCACCCGGGTGGGGCCCTCACACAAAGCCTACTCTCAGCATCTGCCTCTTGTACCTTCTGAGCGGGGTGGGCAGACCTGAGGCTGTGTCTGGTTCCTCGTCAAGGTGCGGCATTTATGCCGGGAGAAGCCCTTTCTCTACACCATCTGCTCCCCAACATGCCAGGGACACCAGAGGAGCTGACCCAGCTTGTGGGCCAACGTGAAAGCTGTCTGGGCCACGGCATGCACACGTGAGCTACGCACCACGTGCCCAGTCCATATGTGTGCACGCACTCTCTCAGGGCCACTTGTCCCCCTAGGTCCTCACCCAGGTCTCGAGGGAACAGCCACACCATGCAGGGCCCTACAGACTCACCTGCACGTGGTCAGTCCAGTTCTCCCGAGACAGGCTTCTCTGCAAAAGCGAGCACCAAGGGACCTTTTCTAGCGACCACTCTAGAAGCTGGAGAGACAGCCTCACCTGGAGCACCCCTCCCCCGCCACAGCCCCGGCCTCGGGGCTCTAAGCAGGGCACACTTACCTCCACAAACCACTTACAGCACAGACAGTGCAGGGCGGCCAGGCGCTACTGAGTGACAGCATGGGGACACAGCGCTGCTGAAAGACAGCGGAGCCCAGGTGGGGCAAGGGCTCCACCCCACACTCTCCCCTAGCCTCGGGCCTCTCCTGGGGTCTGCCGGAGCCCCTCCCTCTGCACCGGGGACAAGGGACACCAGCCCCAGATGCCTTTCCACATTCTCCAGGGCGGGACCCTCCGGACGGTGCGTTTGCTTCCTGTCCTTCTCCCACTGGAATGCGAATCCTTCAGGAAGAGGCCATCTTGCTCATGTTGACAGACTGATGCTTACTCATCGGCCTCGCTCCCAGGAAGGGCACCCACCCGTCCACCCGTCCAGCCATCTGGTTGCTGCCCCTCCCTCCCGGGGCCAGCTGTCCTTGAAGCCTGGCGGTGCGGCTGGGGCATTTAGGGGCCCGGTCTTCTAAGGACCTGGCCAGGACTCTGCGCTCTCCACACGGGCGGCTGCTCCTTGAGCACCCGCACCCAGCACCGGGGAGCGCACTTGTTGCAGGGCCGCTGTCCACCCACAGCGGAGGTCAGTGCTGCCCAGAGGTTGGCCAGCGACTCTGGGGCACTCTCCCTCCTCCTTCCTGCCTGGGACCTGAGGGCTCCGGACCCCAGGAGGCCGCTCAGGAATCTGGGACAACACGGCAGGCGAGGGGGACAGAGCTTGAGGAAGGGAGGGACGAACCGGCGAGCCACGCAGGGAAGAAGGAGCTCCGAGTGGCCAGCGTGTTCTTGGAGCACCATTCCCATGCAGAGCTGCAGACAGAAACCTGCTTCTCGGGCGTTTCTACACTTTGCAGCGTCACTTTGCCAGTGGGATACTTTGTCCAAAAGCCTCACCCCCACAGGTGGAGCTCAGCCCTGGTCAGACCAGAGCACAAATCCTTAAAGGAAAAGGCCCGGGTAGAGCAGGCCCGACCACCTGACACATGCTGAACATCTGGAAATGCCACACAACCCAGTGTCCTGCAGACTCATCTGTGCTACGAGGCCTTGGGGGGCTCTACCTGGGACCGAGGCCCGGGGGCAGGGCTTGTGGGGAGCTCGGGGTGGACAGGCAAGCAGGACTCCCCAGCCCTACTTCTGGGCCTAATGTCAGTCCGTGGAGGCCCACAGCAGGGATGGTGGATGCACAGTGAGGACTGCAGACGGGCAAAGGGACAGTGCTGTGACCCTGAGGCCTCCTGGCCAAGACACACCCCTGGAGCCAGCTGGGGAGGCTGCAGGTGGGGCCTGGCAGCACATGGCCATGCAGAACGGGAGACCCAGCTGGGTGGCTGTCCTCCCCGCTCCCAAGCGGGGCCAATGAGCTAGGCACCCCTAGAAAGCACCTGCCTCTCCCCTCCTGTCCCACAGCCCGTCAGACTCCACATGCAGTCTGGGGGACAACCCCATTGTTCAAGGGGGTCTGGACACCAGATCTGCTCCTGCCTCACACTCAGCTGAGATCTGTGGGGTGGGGTGGACCCTCAAGGGGGACACACCCTGAACTGGGGGTGCTGGGCTAAGGCTGGCCCAACACCCCCAAAGACTCCTCTGGCCCGAAGCCCTGGGCCCACGACCTGACCCTGAAGTGGGGACCCTGGGGGTCAACAAATGGCACGGCAGGGCTGCTGGAAGGAAAGACGGCCCCACCCAGAGCCCGCATCCTCAGACCTCCACACAGCCTGCCCCTCATGGTCCGGAGTCCTGGGTGGGGAGAGCCTCTGCCAGGGAGGCAGGTGTAGCCTCACAGTGGCCACCATGGACTCGGTGTGTGATTCTGTGCTGAGAGCCCCCGGGGGCCTCACCTGCAGGCAGCCTGAACTGTGTGCCTGCCCCACGTTCCCACTGGGTGATGCCAGCAGGGCTCCCCCACCCAGCACCCATGGATGGCATGCAGGTGACCTCAGAGGCCCCTGTGCCAGGGATGGGGGTCCCCATGGGGGGTCCACTCCTTAGTGTCAACCCAGTGCTCTAATTCTCCAAATGCAGGGGCAGGTGACCCACGCTCTATGCCCCCCTGTCCCTCAGACCCTGGCACCCCAGAGGTCTTTGCTGCTGGGAGTCTCCTTGGAGCTTCTGCCCCTAACACTCCACTCTTGGTTTTACTCTGCAGCTGCTGGAGGCTCCTTCCTATAGCTGCTTCCCCAGGGTGTCAGGGGTCCCACCAGTCGGCCGGTCCTCTAAGACCAGGCCCACAGGCTTCATGCGGAGCCCCCAGCCACTGTGAGCAGCTCCTTGCTCCTCGCTGACCCTGACCTGCCCTGACACCAGCCTGCAGGCATCCACATGCCTTCTTGCTTTTCCCATCTATGCTCCTAGTGCTGCCCGAGGGGCTATTTATAGTCATGAATCAAAGCCTCTTGGTGATGTGCTTCTGTCTTTGCAAAAGCCCCAAATATTGCCCTCCTTTCTGGAGGCAGGCACCTTCATCCAAGGGCCAGAGAATCTGCGTAATTTCTCAAGGGTGCCAGACACAAACATGATGACAACTAAGCCTCTGAGTGACACAGAGAAACAGATGCCGACCAGAGACAGTGTGGAAATGTGGATATAAACCATAAGACCACCGTGGGCAAGACATTCAAAGAAAGAGAAGACAAAATCAGAAATACGTTCAAGCATCAAGAAGCCACACAAAGTGAGACAGCAGATCTGGAAATGACCACATTACAACTTCTAGAGCTGAAGATACAACAAGGATAAAAACATAAATGATGGATGTGTTTTGTAGTTTGCTGGACACAGACGAGGAGAGGCTTAGTGAAGTGGGAAAGAGCAGAGTCACCTGAACACACAACGAAGGGGACGCTGGAAAGGGGGGGAGGAGACCAACACACACTCAGGGGCCCAGAGAACAGCAGAAAGAAGCAGGAGAAGTGGCGCGTGAGGTCATGACTTAGGGTTTTCCAGAACCGACTGAAGACAGCAATCCACAGATTCAAAAAGCCCAACACATACCAAGGAAGGTAAATACAAAGACATCTATAACTAGTCTCCTCCCAGTGAGACCACAGAACACCAAAGACAGAGATTATCCTAAAAAACAGCCAAAGGAAAAAAAAAAGATTGCTTTCAGAGGCAAGAAGGTAGATTTCTTCATAATACGTTTCAACCCAAAGGACTGACATTATACAAGGCATGATCTCTGATCACAATGAGATTGAGCCCACACCAGAAAAATAACTAAAAATGTCACATAGCTTGGAAATTAAGAAATACATTTCTGATTAATCCATGGGTAAAGAAAAACTTATAATAGAAATTAGAAAATACCTTGAGCTGCACAATAATAGAAATAATATATATTGAAACTTGGGGAATATTTTCAGAAGAAAGAAGGCTTAAAATTTAGTTTGGTGGCCTGGGGAGGGCAAACAACAAAGAGGACCGAAAAGCCAAACGCAGGCCACAAAAGCAAAAACCAACAAGTGTCATTCCTTCAAACTACAAATCAGTTTCTGCACAACAAAGAAACAACAAAATGAAAAGGTGACCTATGGGAGAAAACATTTGCAAACCACACATCTGATAAAGTGAATATTCAAAATATATAAGGACTCATACAACCCAATAGCAAAAAGAATCCCAAATAACCTAATTTAAAAATGGGCAGAGGAACTGAATAGACATTTTCCAAAAAAGACATCCAAATGGGCAGCAGGTATCTGAAATGGCCCAAGGCATCACTAATGATCAGGGAGATGCAAATCAGAATGGCTATCATTCGACAAAAGACGGGAACTGAGAGAAGCAGGAAGGGGGGGGGGGAGGGGGGAGGGGGAGAGGAGGAGCACCGGCTCCTACTCCCAGGGGTCACTGCAGGTGGGCAGAGGGGCTTGCAGCCCTCAGTCCACTGCTCAGTGCCCAGGGTCCGTGGTGGTGGGCAGGTGACTCAGGAAGGGGGTCAGTGGGCCTGGCCAGCCCCGGCATCTCCGGGGCACCCAGGGTGTGGGGGCCCCGCTCACCCGTGTCCAGGGCCTGCCGACTTAGCACTCTGGGACCCAGCCTCTCCAGCCTCAAGGAGGTCACCTGTGGGTGCTGTCTGCAGGGAGAGAGACACGTCTCCCGCCTGGTGCTGCTTTCTTTTTAAATTAATACATGTAAGACTTATTTTCGTCAAAGTCACACGCACAGAGTTGAAAACTCAGGTAATTTCACAAGCCTGTGGAAAGAGCAGCATGTCACCATGTCCCAGCACGCTCCAGACCCTCATACATCAATTCTGTCATGGCCAGTATTTGCCTCTGTGTTTCCAGGGAACATACTTGTGCGTGACCTCTTGGTTGTTCGGTCTTAGGTGTTTGGTACGGACATCTTGCCGTGGATGGTGCGCCGCGTTCCCACTTAAGTCAGGTCACACTGTGTTCATGCTCTCACGACCAGGCAAGCGCAGCCCGTGCAGACCACACCCCTTCTCTTCAGGGTTAGTGCTTGTCTGGTTTTATTGCCTCCTTGGTTTCCAGACCTGAGAACCCAACCAGCCTTGCCCTGAGCCAATGAGGAGGTGAGTGGGCCTCCTCGCTGCCCCCCGGCTGCCACCCGCTCCCAGCACACCTGCAGAAGTAGGTTTGTGCTCTGCCTCACGTGGTCTTGAGGGTTCAGCTGAGCTGAGGCTTTGGGGTTGAAGTAGCTGTCCCTCAGCACGGGGCAGGCGATGCTCCCAGAATCCTGTCTGATCCCCGTGCTGCCCTGGGTCTGCAGTGTGGGTCTCATGCACTCTGGCCGCCCGCAGACCTGCTACACCCGACCCAGCCACCTCGGGATTGAGCTCTGCTGGCTTGTCTTTCTGGGGTTCCCGTTGTTTGGATGTTGGGCCTTCTTGACAGGACCTCCAATTTTTCTTTTAATCTTTTCTCTCTGATTTTCATTGTTTATGTTTTGTACTTTTTGGAAGACATCTTCAAATTTATCCTCCAAACCTCTGCTGAGCTTTTTGCTTTGCCATCATATTTTTATTGACAAGAGTCCTGTTCTGTGTTCCGAAAGCTTCCCTGACTGTGGCACAGAGCCTCAGCCCAGTCCTCAGCCAAGCCCGGACGCCATGGCCCAGGGTCCCCAGTGTCTGGCTGACCACCAAGGAGTCTGGGCCTCAGCTGCTGGGCCCTCCGCGGGCTCTGGGCTGGACCCCACATGCTCCTGGTGGCCGCGGGCTCAGCTTCCCCGCCTGCGGCCTGACCACCTGCGCCCAGTCACTGCCTCCATTCTCTTCAAATGTCTTCTCCATTTTACAGCAGAGACAATAATGAGTGCTTCTGTCTCTCTGCCAGTGTTTATCGAGGTGTAACTGACACGTGGTGAGGAGTGGGGATCATGGGTGTACTTGCACCTGAGGACATGCCACCCACAGGTCAACACGGATGTGCAGCCCTTGAGCTGCCCCTGCCCCCCTCGGCCACGCTTCGGACCAGCGGAGACCACGTGCCAGGTTTTGAACGTCCCACCGTTGGAATGATGGAGTCCGGACGCTTGGGTCTGGGCCATCTCACACAGCACGGGCTCTGGGACATTCCTCCACGTTATGTGTGTAACGTGTGTGGTCCAGCTGTGGCTGTGGACTGGCCTCTGGATCCGTCCGGTGCTTGGGGACTAGGAATAAGGCTGCTGTGAACATCCTGTGAACACGCACCCATGTGTCCTGGGTTTGCTCCAACGGTGGACTGGCTGAGGCAGTCCTAGCCCATGTTTTGCTGGCGCCAGCAGTGCCGAACAGCGTCCTCGAGTGGCCGGGCCGCGTTAGCTGTCCCCAGCTGGGCACAGGAGTTCCTACCTCACTAACGTCTGGTATGCCAGACTTTTCGATGTTAGCCATGATGAAGGAAGCCACTGCATCTTTTGCAAATATTTTCTCCCATTCTAACCTGGTCTTCTTGATTTTTTACAAATATTTATTTATTTATTTATTTATTTATTTATTTATTTATTTGTCAGAGAGAGAGAGAGAGAGAGTGAGTGAGCACACAAGCAGGGGGAGGAGCAGACAGAGGGAGAGCCGGCTTCCCGCAAAGCAGGGAGCCTGATGCAGGGCTGGATCCCAGGACCCTGAGATCATGACCTGAGCCGAAGGCAGATGAGTAACTGACTGAGCCACCCAGGCGCCCTTGTCTTCTCATTTTTAAAAATACTTTAAATAGGGGCGCCTGGGTGGCTCAGGTGTTAAGCGTCTGCCTTCGGCTCAGGTCATGATCCAGGGTCCTGGGATCAAGCCCCGCATCGGGCTCCCTGCTCAGCAGGGAGCCTGCTTCTCCCTCTGCCTCTGCTCCTTCTCCCTGCTTGTGTTCCCTCTCTTGCCGTGTCTCTCTCTGTCAAATAAATAAATAAAATCTTTAAAAAAAATACTTTAAGTAATCTCCACACCCAACATGGGGCTCGAACCCAAGACCCCAAGATCAATAGCCTCATGCTACCAACTGAGCCAGTCAGGTGCCGCTCTATGTCCCTCTCCAAATATATAGTAACAGTGATGACAGCCAACGCTCGGTGTGCCTGGCTGGGTGCCCCACGTGCTTTGTCTGCTTTGTAGCATGTTAAGTCACACAACCCTTTGAGACAGGCAAAATTAGCCCCATGTTAGGGCTGAGGAAATAAACCTAGGAAGTGAAAGTGACTTGCTCCAGAGGAGGTGGGTCCAGGGAGGTCAGCCCCAGAGCCCAAGGTCTGCATCTCAAGGGGGGTGGTCTCAGGCCTGGGTGGCTCATGGCGCTGGATCAAGCCCCCAGGGCCTGCAGATGGACAGGAGGCTCGAGGAGCCTCCACAGACAGCCAAGTGCTGCTTCACCCCGTGGCCGCCCCAGATATGTGACCAGCAGATGCTACCCCCACGCCCCACACTTGGGCGACACCCTCGCATCATGTGCGTGTGCAGCTTAAATGAACCCACATGGGCTCCACGGGTGTCACAGATGAGATTTATGAGGTGAAGGGATGAGTGAATGGACAGGTGCTGTGACTTCCAGCGTGTAGTAAATTGTTCACGCAACCTGGAGAATTATTTTTGTTCGTTTAAGAGACTCAACTGTGTCTCGTCTGGTTCCTGCCAGGTGCGGCCTCTGGGCTCCAGAAGCAGGTCCCTCTCTGGCTGACCGAGCCGCGGTGTGTGCGGGCCACTCACGTGGCTTTCCCGAGTGCGTGCCGCCCCCTGCCCCACCCTGGGCCCCCATGGGGCTTACCTGGCCACGACTCTGACGTCAAAGCCAGGCTGGCACCAGGAGTCCGGGAGGGCCAGCAATCCCCTTTGGAGGTCCGGGAAGCTGGCTACATAACGCTCTACGAGGGTCACCTTGTCCTGGAGGAGCAGTGGGGTGCTCATCTATGGGGAGCACATCCTCAGGTCACAGCCTTTCAGGCGCCCGGCACCTCCACCCCCGGCCAAGACCCCAGACTCACCTCCAACCCAGAGGAGGCGTGGCCAGAGCCTCCGGACTGAGAGGACCGGAGGCCCCTCCATGTGACCTGGTTCCCTCAGGGAGTGCAGAGGCCCAGCCAAGTGTCTGACTACATCCGTGAAACACCCGCAGACCAGCTCCCAGGGCATGGTGCACTCATTCCAGCCTATGCCCTGTGCTTGCACGCCTCCACACACACACACACACACACAAACACATGCAGGCCCCACTGCTCCCTGGGCCTGGTCCCGGGGCTCTGTGGTCATCCCCATCTTCATTACAAAGGACTGGAGGCTCCCAGAGGCAAGGGGAGTCCTGGGGAAGATCAGCTGTCCCCTTGTCTTCACTGAGCTGTGGTGGGAGGCAGGACGAAGATCAACTATGGGCAGCAACCCCAATGGCCCAAACGCCTCCTCACTGGCACAGGTGGCATGCCTGTGCATGGTGCCCACAAGAGCCCCGAGCTGCCCAAGTCCGCCAGGAAGCTCTAAGGAGGCCCCTGGCCGTGGGCCTGGGCCTTGGGACACTCAGGCCATTTCCACCGCAAGAGCTCAGACCTCAACAAAGCCCCCTGCCAGTGGTCCCAACGATAGACACCTCCTCACCTTTCCATGTGACCACATAGGGTCAGGCTGCCTGGAGCCCAGACTGAACAGGGACCCATCTGCCAGGTTGGGACCTCAAGGGGTGGACATCACGGAGAGCCCCATTCCTCAGAGACCCCCTGGCCACTGCCTTCTGAGCACGTTACACCTAAGTCCAGGGACTGCCCTCCTGGGCCCCACCCCCTCGGGCCCACCTTGCAGGGTTGGGTGCTCACACGTGACCCCTGCCCTCCAGCACCCCCAGCCCCACCCAGTGAGGAGCAAAGCCAGGGCTCAGTGGTAGAAGAACCCCCCTCCCCAAATCGTGTTTCTGGAGACTCAGGCTTTATCCAAGTCGGAACCTAAATGATTTTCGTGAAAAGATACTTACCTTTTCTTTCTTTCTTCTTTCTTTCTTTCTTTCTCTTTCTTTCTTACTTTCTTTCTTTCTTTCTTTCTTTCTTTCTTT